GCTGCGCCAGGGCAGGTTTAGGCTAGACATTAGGAAAAACTTCTTCACCGAAAGGGTTGTCAGGCTCTGGAATGGGCTGCCCAGGGAGGTGGTAGAGTCATCATCCCTGGAGGTATTTAAAAGAAGGATAGATGAGGTGCTTAGGGCCATGGTTTAGTGGTGGGATGGCAGGGTTAGGTTAAAGGTTGGAGTCGATGAGCTCAAAGGTCTTTTCCAACCAAAGTTATTCTATGATTCTATGGCCCTCGCCTTCCCGAAAGCGCTGGGCAGCTGCCGCGGAGAGCCCCGGCACCGGAGCGGGAAGGGGCGAGAGGAGCAGCGGGTCCCCCGGGGGCCCCCCACCGGCTCCCCGGGGAGCCCCAGATCCAAGGCGCTTGCTTGCCGATAGAGTAACTCCCCGTGCAGGTGACTCACTCCCGGCCATGAATTAAAGATGAAAGCTGCCACAGGGGCTGAGCGCAGCTCTGACAGCTGCAGGGGGAGGAACAAGCTTTTATTTCTGGCTTTTTTCACACCACAAAGCTGGTCGTGATCCAAACAGATAACAGAGCCTCAGCCCCACAGCGCCGGTGACGAGCGCGAGCGTGAGGCTGGGGGTGGATGAGCGCTGAGCATGAGTCACTGCCGCCTCACTTATGAATGAGGGGTGGGAAGAAGGGGACAGGGCTGCGGAGCGAGGAGGAAAGAGCCGGAAGGAGGAGGGGGAAGCGGGGAGGGCACTCAGCTTCCCCGAGGAGAGGAAGGGGCTTGGGCATGCCCACGGGTGACATGGCCACCTCCCGGACCAGCAGGGAGGTCCCATGGGGGCCTCTCTCAGGGACGCCCCGGTGCTCAGCATCCTGCCGCAGCCCAGCTCCCCCCCAGCTTTGTGCTCCCCCCCAGCTGGGAGCAGAGCGGGGCAGAAAGCGGGGCAGAAAGCGGGGCAGAAAGGGGGGCAGAAAGCGGGGGGTCTCAGGCCCCAGGAAAAGGGGGCTACCACGACACAGCCCGACTGCAGCCCGGGAGGGGAGGAAGGATTACGACAGCAGCCCTCGCCTGACACCGCAGCGGCTTGAAGGGAGGGGGTAGAGCGGAGCCAGGCAAGCAGCGGAGCGGGGCGCAGGGAGAACAGGGGTCCCCCCACCGGGCTCTGCACCCCCCCAACACCGCAGGGGTCCCCAGCTCTGGATGCCAGGGACATTTGCAGAGGGATGCTTGGGTCCCAGACCTCTCCCCTCTCTACACCTGGGACTACAAACCACCCTTTCCAGCCCCCTCCTGCTGCCCACAGTTGGGGCAGGCT